AAAGTCAATGCTGAAATAAAAATAATTCTTTGTACAATAAAACTAGTATCAGTGTAAAAATCAGCTTGAATTGTAAGAGGACTGACTTACACCACATACTGCAGATTTTTCCGAATATGATCAAGTTTTTTTTTTAAATAATCCCATAATCCTCTCAGCAGATAGACTCTCCGAACAAATCCATCTATAAACCAACAGGCATGACCTTCACAAGCAACACATGATTCTCACAACATTTGTAACATGGCTCAGTCTAGGACAGGGGTTTTCAAACTGTGGTCCGGTCTGGGTGTCCATCGAAACATTTGAGTGTAAAAAAGCTAATATTTACTTAATTTGACAATTACTATTTCATTCGTCTTTCTAATGTCTGAAAATTAGCTTTGATTATTCTGTCATAGTTTCCAAAAAAAAAGGGTAACATTTTACTTAAAGCCTTTATATATAATGCATTATAAAGGGTTATTAAAGGGTATAACGCATTAAAATATTTCATGTGCGTTGTAATACATTATATCTTGTTGTAAATAATTATAACCGAATTTAAAATGCGTAGTGTAACAATGAATTGATTAGTGTTATAAAATGTATTACCTGTGGTTGCAATTATTTATGAGATTGTATACTGCATTATAAGGTGCATAACAAGGCACAATTAATGCATTAAAACTACTTTTATAATGCATTATACATAAAGGCTTTAAGTAAAGTGTTACCAAAATGACAACACTTTTGTACTTGCATGTTTTTATGTAGTGACACATTTATACAAATAGATGTGAATGGACTTCTTTGTTTGCGTCATTATGTTTTTTTTTTAAGGAACTTAATATTTTAATTGATCATGGATGCATTAAATTGATCAAAAGTGACAGAAGACATTTATAATTTTACAACAGATTTCTATTTCAAATAAATGCTGTTCTTTTAAACTTTATATTCATTCACAAATCCTGAAAAATAAAATGCATCACAATTTCCACAAAAATATGAGGCAGCACAACTGTTTTCAACATTGATAATAATCAGAAATGTTTCTTGAGCAGCAAAGCGGCATATTAGAATGATTTCTGAATGATCATGTGACACTGAAAACTGGAGTAATGATGCTGAAAATTCAGCTTTGATTACAGCAATAAATTACATTTTACTATATATTGACAAAGAAAACATTTATTTTAAATTGTAATAATATTTCAAAATTTTTACTTTTTTTAAATGTATTAAATAAATACAGCCTTGATGAACAGAAGAGACTTTAAAAAAAAAAAAAAAACATTTAAAAAAATCTTACTGGCTACAAACTTTTATTTAATATTTTTATCAATTCATTTAAATTTGCATACAACATGTTGTCTTTAAAATCACACTTACTATTTTCCAGTCACATAGTGAAAATATAACTGTATTTTTAGGATCACAATTTTGGGGGATCCTTATTATTACAATGTTTGTATCTATAAGCGTGAACAGATTAGAGCCGGCCATCACTGAAACCCCTGTAGAAACCATGTCACGTTATGCTTGTGAAGCCTCTGTGAAATACACATTTTCATGCTTCAATTTTCATGCTGTCAGTCTATAACACAATCACCAAGCCATCCATCCCACTGCTTCTGTCTTCATTAACATCTGCCAGACGATTCTCTCTCTCACTCAATCCCTCCATATCACACTCAGCCGAGACACACACAAACCGCTGACCTACATTAGGAGAGGCTCACAGATTTTGCGTGCATGCATGTGGGAGACTTCACGAGGGTTATTTAAGTGCAAAATCACAGCCGCATTATATGGAACTGGCATAAACAGTAAAGCAAAAACTATTAATTATAGCTATACACACAGAAACTGGTTTTAGAAACTGTGTAGGTGGATGAAATATAGTGTAGTATTTGTGAATGAGATCAGAAACCTCCTCACCTAATTCTGCTCTGACTCGTATTGTCTGTGGTCTCTCCCGTCATCTGCTGGTATTTGGTACGTTCCAAGTGCTCCATGTAACTGTGGATCATCTGTGAATCCAAACACACAGTATTCTTTGATGACAGCAGCAAAAGACTACATGCAAAAGCATCTTTTAGGGCTTTGATTCTTCACAACGACACAAAGTCGATTTCCAGACCGTTTCTGCTCCTCTCTGGTGGAACGAGCTGACAACCTACACCTGAACAGCTGAACCATCACAACTTTCAAGGGCCCTGTTTACACCTGGTGTTAAGATGCGTTTTGGTCAAATGGATCACAAGCAGACGAGGGAGACACATTCCCTTTCACACCT